TCAATGTCTTCTACATCTTCTTCTTCTTCAGATGCAAATCCGCTAATGGATGTTAGCGATCACATTTTCCATTAATTCTCTATTTCTTGCAATATGTATCAGAGATTGTATGTCGTTAATCCCTGTCCTTTGCCTTATGTTTCGAAGCCAGGACATTTTCTTGCGTCCCATTCCTCTCTTGCCTTTAATTTTACCCTCGATTATAAGTTGGAGGAACTGCTATTTTTCATTTCGCATGATGTGACCTAGATATGCCGTTTTCCTTTCCTTGATGGTTTCGAAAAGTTGGCGTTCTTGGTTTATTCTTTTAAGGATATCTATATTTGTGATTTTCGCTGTCCATGGTATTTTTAGGATACGGCGATAAAGCCACATTTCGAAAGCTTCTAATCTGTTTATATCCCTCGTTTTGAGTCTCCAGCCCTCTACGCCAGATAGCAGCACTGACCATACGTAGCACTTAGCAAACCTTAGTCTCAGTTGAAGATCGAACTCTGAACAAGTCAGTACCTTCTTGAATTTTACGAAAGCTTGTCGAGCTTGCTCAATGCGACATTTTACTTCCCAGTCCGATGCCCAGTCTTCAAAAAGCCACGATCCCAGGTATTTAAATTTACTTACTCTTTCAATAGACTTAGTATTCAGTGTTATGGTGGAGTTTTCAAGTGCATCCAAGTTTCTGGAGATGATCATGAATTTGGTCTATTTGATATTAATCTCTAATCCCATTCGCTTACTGTATTCTCCGATTATAGTGACAAGTTGTTGAAGATCGACTATGTTGTCACAAATTAAGACACCATCATCAGCATATCGTATGTTGTTGATCAATACTCCATTCACCTTGATTCCCATCTCTGCATCCTTCAAAGACTCTTGAAATATGGCTTCCGGATAAATGTTAAATAAAAAAGGGGAAAGCACACATCCCTGTCGAACGCCTCTTCTTATATGTATGGGTTTGGATATAGAATTATCTATTTTAACTGTGCCGTTTGATGCCAGTACAAGTTTTCAATGCATCATATGTCTTCTACATCAGAAACTTTCTAATCTAATCTCGGCGGCAAATAAACCACATTAAATGAGTCAGTATTTTCACAATCCGAGTCTTCTTCTATCTTCTTCTAACAAAGCTATTAACTCTTTAGTACTTCATTTCATATTTCGAGAATTTACTGAAATAAACAAATGCACTAATATATAAACGCATTCGCATGATAATAGTTTAGCTTACTTCATTCTAATTTATATAAACTTTATAATATATTTTCATATTTATATAAACAAATAAACACAAGGAAACTCAAATTAAGTTAAAAAAACAACAAATATAACGTTTACAGCATACAGCAATTCTATAAGTAGAGAATGATGTGTAATTAAAATTGCAGATTGTTTTTAGTCTAATGAAAAAAAAAAATGTATTTTCCAAAGTTTTCTGTTTGTTGAAGTTCTGTATTAGATACCCTCTAATAAGAATAAAATTTTACTTAATTTTGTTAGACAACTATAAGATACCTGTTAAAAAACACATGATAATTTATGAATTAAATCGGTCTTAGATTTAATTTTTTACCTAATTACTTATGTGTTAAAATAAACAATTAAATTTTCTTTTGGTACGCCTCTGCAAAATTGATTAAGTGGAATACGATTTCGTTGAAAAGTTATCGTTATTGGCTTCTTTATGTGCGATGTTGCCAAGTAATCACCTTCAATTAAAAATTGTTTTAGTATAAATGTTTTGCTTATTTATTTTAAAATAGAGTTTTGTCTATCATACCAACATTCGTTGATGTTTTTGTTTGATACGGTTATGTTCAGAAAGATTTCCGCAATTAGTACAATTAAACAGTACTAGTACATGTAATGTTAGTACATTTACACTCAATCTCAATTCAAAGACTCCAACCCTCATCATACGAAATATGTCACTGACAAAATTAACAAAATTCTTAAAACAAGAGGAATAAAAACAATATTTACTCCCTATCAAAAAATTTAATATCTTGCCCGATCTATCAAAGACAACATTCCGAATAAAAAGCACGAAGTTAATAAAATTCCTTGTGCAGACTGGCCCCGATCCAACATAGGCCAAACAAATCGTAGAATCCAAAATAGGATTTATGAAGATTCCATTTCTGTTCGCAATTCCGATTCAATTTCAGCTCTAAGTCAACACCATCTTCATACAGATCATAAAATTTAAATTTTGAAAACTCCAGAACCATAGACCCCAAGAAAGATTGGTTTCTATAAACCAAGAATTAACCGAGAAGCCATAGAAATTTAAAAAAGGCCAAATTGTCTCAATGAAAGTGATGACGGCATACGGTTACCTTCGACATGGAGACATCTCATAAAGAAAATATCGTTTGCTCCATCCACGAATCCAAATCCGACTGTCACAAATATTTGCGCCAACCTCAAATTCAATATAACGCAACAGTTGCAAGTTATAATAATTATTCACAATTTTTATTTCAGTAATTAATTTTTTGAGAATGATTTCCAGATTAGAAAACAAAATAATAATAATAAAAAAAGAAATTAATTTTTTTACAATTTTCATCATGGTTGTTTATTCGTATACAGATAACGACATTGTTTTGTTGACCATAGAAATTAAGATTTATTACAATCCCATCTATTAGATTATATTTATTATAATGCTCTAAAACTAATTTTTTGGTTATTTTTTAGCCTTAATACAAATAAATAAGTAAATTAGTATTATGCTTATTGTTACTGAAAATTGTACAAAAATTATGGAGAAAGCTTATAACAACAAGACAAGAAAAAAGAAAAAAAATCAGAATAAGAATCGTTTGTACTTTTAGATAAAAAAAAATAATAAAATTCTTCTAAATGAAACATTAAAAATACTACCTAATTAATAATCTACAAACTTCGTAAAATGTAGCTAACACAAAATAAAAATTAGGAGAGCAGATTAATGAATTAAAGGCTCAAATATTTGACCACCTTGTGCTAAACAGTAACCAAATCTGTCATACAGATTTCTTCTGATATGTTAGTAGGGCTGGTGTAATGCTTGCAGAGAAATGAAGTATTTTTGCCCTTAATTCGACTACATTTGCGGCCCTTTCAAACTAATGCCTACATTTAATGTTTTCTTTGAGAAAACCCCAAAGAGAGAAATCGTTAGGCCCTAAGTCTCAGAATCTAGCAGGCTATATAATTGTACCACGTGTACTTATCAGTCGATCAGGAAACGTTTGATTGAGGAAGTCAACAGTTGCTCTAGAGTTGTGAGCCGAACACCCATCTTCTTGGAAATAAACCTCCTAAAAATTACGGAAGACGTCGAACTATCGAAATGATCTTACTCTGTTAAAGTTGTAAATATTTATGCCCGTTTAGGTTTTCATCGATAAAAAATGGACCGACAATATGGTCGCCTAACATTCCAGTCCAAACATTTAACGATTTAACTTTTGCGGATGCTGCATTCGCCCTGCAATACTGAGGTGCTTATTTTTCCGAGAATAATACCTTGCAACGGATGGATTGTGTTTTTTATGTATCGAAAATAAAGATTCGTCAGAAAATAAAATATTTTTTAAGAAGTGTACATTTTCCTTCTGTTTATCTTACATAAATTCACAAAGCTCCATCCGCCTAAAGTTATTTCCCGGAAACAGTTCTTGTGTTGGTTGTATCTTGTTGTAACAGTAATACTCATTCCTTTTGAGTACTCGCTGGACAGTCCGAGCATTCACGTCAACTTTCCTAGCAATTTGTACAATATTGCAGGCTTCACTAGCTTCCTCAATATTACTGTTTTGACGCTCCTTATCAACAAGTTTAACACGTGGTTCATGACACTTTACAACTGTTTACACATCCCGAAGTTTGAAAATGTTAAATAGTATTTTTAATTGTTGTAACGCTTGGTAGGGGTCTGTTTTCGAAGGCAACAATAAATAAATCAATTACTTCGCGTATCGAATGACCCTGAAAGTACCATGTTACAAGTTGCACTTTTTCTTGGACCATATTATCGAGTTAGAACCTATGAAGAAGCTATAAGCATATTAAAGTATGTATTAAAAATGGCGTAGGTAGGAGTGGCTAACGATAATACCAATATGGCGGTGACATCAGGGCCAGACTCAATAATATTAAAACTACTATACAAATATGACTAGTAATTCAGAAGATTTAATCAAAATCTAAAAAAGTGCAATACATTTTTAATAAACTATGATTTATTTATCCTGCGGTAAACACTAAAAATACGATATATTATACATAAAGATAAATTAATACAGTCAAATACTATTAATTTACTCTCTAAAGTACGGGCCATTACTTTGTGTACATATTTGTAAACTAACCTGTGGAACGATATTCCTGAAGATTTTTTATTGACATTACTTCTGCTAATTCAACTACGTTGAGAACAAGAAACCATTATTATGCACTATCACAATATATTACAGTTTCTATAAAAGTATTATAAAACATATAGGATCTGTCAAAAGTTTCAAAACAATATTAACAATATGGCCGAAGCGAGGTCATTTTTAGTCACGTGATGCCCTCTCCATAGATTCTAACTCGATGGACCATATACAACCTAATTGGTATTTTATTAATTATTTATTTATTATTTCAGAAGTTCTTTTGAAATTTTTAATGTCAATGTGACAATTACGACAATTCGTACCTACTGTGAAATAAATATAGAGGTGGAAACGTGTAACATGTCACAGCGATTGCCATTGTGTTGTATGGTCAATAAAACAATGTGATCTGTATATAAAAAATTCAGTATAAAACAGTTTATAAAATATGAAAGAGGTAAATAAAAAACAGGCAATTCACTTTTATAATCAAATTATTATAAATTTGCGTAAATTGCGCCAAATCTGTGGCAAGTAATATTTTCCACAAATGTTTTTCGCCATGTAACAATATATTTTTAAAGGTTACCTATGGAACTCTTATATAAATAAAAGTACACTTACAGTTTTTTTATGTTTCGAAATATTCTGGTCATCCACATAATCTGGGTAATTTTCCACTACAACTGGAAATGTCAGCAACGGAAAAGGAGTTGTAGGTGTTCCTGGCAGTGGCGGTGGCTTCATTATTTCAGTATTTCTACTAGCTCCTACTTCCGCACAATCAGTGTATATCCTAAAATGTAATATTATGTACTGATAGAGTGGATTACTTTATTTAGTTACTAGTTGTTTATGATTCTCTCTGAGTTTTCAATGCAGTCCCGTTTACTTCTTTACTGTGAAATATACCAGCGCCCTCCAACCCCCCGCGCCATTACTTTTCTCATTTATTTCACCGTGAAAACATTTGTCTGCTAGTCTGCTACAAGAACTAGTTTAACAATTAGATCAAGAAATTATTAAGTAAATGGTTCTATAAAGACTTTGTCCCAGAAACGAAGTTTATGAACAGATCCAACTTACCCACTAAAGCTCTACTTGAAAAAGCTTCAGGCCGCCCAAATAAACAACAAAATATTTTTTCACACCTATGTAATTTTACATTTTCACAGTAATAAATTTAAAAAATTAGAAACTAAATTAAATTAAACAATGAAGTGAATATAAAACAATTAACAAAGTGAATAATTCAAAACGAAACGAAAAAAAATTACAACAAGTATTTAAAATGTTCACCATTAGATAAACTACATGATCTAATATTTTGTGTAAGTTTTGTCTTATTTTAAATAATGAGTTTCTTTGGGCCCTGATTACGTTAACTCCTTCTACAATATTTTGCCATAACTCTTGAAGGTTATTTAATTTTTTTTATAAACAAATGACTTTATGTAGCCCCACAAGTAAAAGTCTAGAGAATTAGTTCAGGACTGCGTGCTGGATATGGATATATACTACCTCTACCAATCCACCTTTGAGGATAAATTTCATCTAACTTCTGGGCTATAATATGGTGGTGCACCATCATGCATGTACCAAGAGTGACATCTTAAATTTAGAGGTATGTCTACTAAAAGAGTCGGCAAATCTTCTCTCAAAAAATTTAGATACGTTACTCCGTCATTCCTAGTTAGTAATTCAAACGGTCCTACAATACATTCCGCGAATATACTGCACCGGATATTTATTTAAAATGAAGATATGTCCATAGCAATTAAAGTAAACTATATACCCAAGCTTAATCAAGCCATTCAGAGCGGTGCTGAGAAAAATTATATTCCACTATGCACCAACAATCTACCCATATAAATTACTATCATTCTTGTACTCATTGCGTCGAGTAAGGACGATAAATATATGAAGAAGGTTGCGTTTTGATTTAATTTGAGTCTCTTACCACTCCCTGACACGTGCTTCTGGGTCTACCCGTCATCAGAAGGAGTTTGTAAGAAAACTCAAACCAAATCAAAACTCACCGATTACTCTGGCAATTACAAGAAAATAACTACTAGAATATGCAACTAGAGACCTCTAGTGAGGAAAGACACGTCGATATCAATTAAAGTAAACTGTATACCTAAGCTTAATCAAGCCATTCAGAGCGGTGCTGAGAATAATTATATTCCACTATGCACCAACAATTTACCCATATAAATTACCATCATTCTCGTACTCAAGAGACTAGAAGTTATATATATATATATATATATATATATATATATATATATATATATATATATATATATATATATATATATATATATATATATATATATATATATATATATATTTATTGTGTTGGAATATCGGTATGCGGTCTGTTATTATTAAAAAGACTCTTTTTTCTTTTAATCCTCTATATTTCGCTGATTTTTTGTCAGCTTCATCAGGAGACAAAGATTTAGAGTGGAAAGTATTTAAACAAGTTGAACATAATTTGTTCAAAACATTAAAAGAAAAAAGAGTCTTTTTAATAATAACAGACCGCATACCCGATATTCCAACACAATAAATTGTTTTCTACGTTTCGGTCGATAATCTTACCAGTTTTGCTATATATATATATATATATATATATATATATATATATATATATATATATATATAGCAAAACTGGTAAGGGTGGTCTACACAGGGTGGTCTTTAAGTAGTCGTACAAACAGAAACCGTAGATTCTTTACTTTAAAATATTCCGATTTAAGCCAACTTAAGAGTATCTTTAATAAGATGCTTTTGAGTAGGATAAATTATAATTTTATACACACTTTAATGTAACTGATAAAGGGCGCCACATATGCCAAATGTGAGGCATACATTTACGTTTAACTTTTTTGCTCTTCAAGTTAGCTCTACTTGTGTTAAAAAATATTAAAGATACATTATTGTTGCAAAGAAAAGGTATACTTGTTAGTAACCTTAAAATTCAACAGTTTTTAGATAATTGAATTTTATAAGTCACTTGAATAATAATTCTTAGTTGTGATATTTATGCGATGAAGCACTGAATATCTGTAGATAAGCATTATTAATAGTTTATTTTTATTAAAACAATTCAAAGATGATGATGTTACATCACAAAATGCTTTGTTATGACTGCTAAATGTCTTATTGAAAAAATTCTTTCATCTTCTTTCTTGTCCTTCTTTCTTCTTCTCCTTCTCCTTCTCCTTCTCCTTCTTCTTTCTTCTCTATTGTAAAATGCTGAAAACACAAAATATGTGGTTGATGCAAGATGGTAAACCACATTCTAGAGAGAGGGCAGTGAGAACATACTTAAATACAACATATTGTTCTGAAGCTATTTTCTTGTGGCATTGTAAATTAATTACTATTTATAACTGGGAATAAGCCACAATTAAAGATAAAAAATACGTTTATTGACGTTTCAATTTCCAATTCGGAAATCGTTCTCAAAATACAAACAGTAAATTAAACAAATTTTGTTTTTTGTTACATAGTGAAAAAATTCTTCTAATAATTTAATTTTATCTGACTCATTTATATTGACAATTCAGACATACATTATGCATTTTAAAGTAGACGACTTTAAAATGATATTGCCAATATTGTTGAGTTGCGCTCCTGGGACGACTTTACTTATAAGATAGTTCATTCGATTACATGAAATCAACTTTAACTTGAGAATATCCGTCAGAAAAAATCATAGCATGTAATTCGTCTTTAAAAAGACAAACACATGACATGATGACAGTAAAATTCTCCTGTTAGTGATTCAAAATTTAATTGTTATTAAATTCACTATGTAACAAAAAACAAAATTTGTTTAATTTACTGTTTGTATTTTGAGAACGATTTCCGAATTGGAAATTGAAACGTCAATAAACGTATTTTTTATCTTTAATTGTGGCTTATTCCCAGTTATAAATAGTAATTAAATACAACATTTCTCAACAGATACTTATTATTCATTACGTAAATTGTTTATCCATTTTTATTATAACAATTAGATTACAGGAATTATTCATATATGTACATATTTGTCTTGTTTCATAATACTTTTGCTACAAATCTAACCTTAAAAACTCAACATTTTTACAAAAATATCTTGGTTGGTCTAATAACCAATGTTGTTATAAATATAGTAGACACACAGACAATTTAGTTAAGCATAATATTAGTTTGTTAGTAAATCATAATAGTCCATTTGTTCAAGATGTAATTAGAGTTACTCGTAAGCTGTAACGTAATTATATAAATAAGTTATGGCATCGATATATTTCGTGTGTTTATAAGTAACCAATAATCGAAATACATTACAGTTTAATGCATTATGTAACCTCTGCGACAAATAAGATGTTGTTCCATATTATACCATAAGTTTGTATCTTGTTCCATATTATACCATTGGATATGTATCCAAAAGAAAATATTCATCCATTATACATTATAGCCACCACCATTATACATTGTAGCCCATAATTTAATCCGTTTGATTTTGGTGTATATGGCGCATTAAAGCAACGTGTCTTTAAGAATCCCATAAACATTCGCAACCAAGTATGGAAAAAAAATAAATACTGCAACAGTTTTGTTAGAACCAATGATGCTATTTAATATGAAACGATATTTTATGGAATATATGACAAATAAATTAAAGAAAATGGTGGACATATCGAACACCTACGTTACCAAAAAGTTAAGTTATTTAAAAAGAGAAATCAAACGATTTCTACCTGGCTAAATCGAATTCAAATTTTGACCACCGTGCTTTCTAAAACTTGCAAAGCAAACAGATTGATAAATAACTCTACAAGGAAATCTAAGATTCCATTCTACATGTCGTTTATCATGGTCAAAATTCGTAGTGAATTTAATTTCTGGTACTCCAAACAGAGTAAAGAAATACAATATAAAGACGGTACTAGACTTTTGTTTCAATACAGAGCGGCGACGTCTTTCGACCTCTTTAGATCCCGTCAGAGCGGTATAGCTACCTCTCTGGAACGAAACAAAATCTATTCCCATCTTAAACAATAATTAAAGTTTTAGAGCACGGTGGGCAAAATTTGAATTCGATTTCGCCAGGTAGAAATCGTTTGATTTCTATTTTTGTTATTAGATGGCGTAGTTACGTCCGTATATAGTTATTTTATAACTATTGTTTTAGACGGGAATAGATTTTGTATCGATCATACCCTGCGAACTCAATGTAAAAAAATTGTTCCATATATAGGTATAGTAAGATTTCAAATAACGAGATGGCGCCTGGCACTTATTTCAACTGGATCGCTAGTATATGTGGTAGAAGGCTAAGTAAAAAAGAAAGAAGAATATTGAGTTTTAAGTTGGGCAGTTGTGTTTATAATCTGTGATAGGTTGGTTGGGTTGTATTTTCCACGTGTTTGTTGTTTGGACCATGCCCCGCGAACTCTAGTAAAAAAAATGTTATTCTATTAAGTTTACTTCCAGGCCGTATGAGGCCGTGCAAAACGTTAATTTATGCATCATAGAACATGACATTTGACAAGCCCTGCACTGTGACCTACGGCGTCCAAAAAGCCAATTCAAAATGAAGCCTTTATAGCGTGTAGCTCACAGATTACTAAGACAAGTGGTGTAGCTGTTTACGTGGTATTTGTTTGCGATTATTTTGGTTTTTGCGACTGTTGAAAAAATTATTTTCAATCGTATTTTTCGATATTTTTTTTATACCCGATTGAGTGGTGTTTTTGTTTGGTTTGTGTGACCATAAGAATAGTTTATATTCATTCC